CAACTCCCCCCACAATGTCCCAGCACCTATGCCAGCAGCAATGGCCACAGTCCAGATGCCTCCAAAGTCCACAACAACAGTTGGCAGCAACAGTTGGCACCACCAGTCTCTCTCCTCCTGGTGCTTCTTCTCTAGGATTCTTCTTCAGGTTTCAGGATTCAAAAACCACCCCCCTCCCTTACTCTTTATTATTAAAATCTGAGGCTAGAAACCCCAGCCAACTCCCTTACTTCACACTCTCGCTTGCCTCCGTTTCAGATAACCTCCCACGGAGGAAGCAATAAAACTTCACTCTATCTAGCCTCTATTTAAAATACCCTTGATAGAAAAATAAAGTAAGCTTCCAGACCTTCTCTTCTCAACTCCAACCACACCGGCCTTCTCTTTTTCTTTTCTTTTCTATCCTTCCTCCTTCCACTCACGCCAGCCACACCCAAGCCAACTGCAGCTGTCCCAATCTTCCCCTTCCCAGTCAAGCTCCTGCAAGCACTCTCGGGCAGTCCCCGCTACACATATAAGGAATGGTTGCTGGAATTGGGTATGTCTAATCTAATGAAGAGAAGGACTAGGAGTGACATGATAGCAGTGTTCCAATATCTCAGGGGCTGCCACAAAGAAGAGGGAGTCAAGCTATTGTCCAAAGCACCTGAAGGCAGGACAAGAAGCAACAGATGGATACTAACCAAAGAGAGAAGAAACCTAGAACTAAAGAGAAACTTCCTGACAGTTAGAACAATTAACCAGTGGAACATCCTGCCTCCAGAAGCTGTGAATGCTCCAACACTGGAAGTTTTTAAGAAGAGACTGGACAGCCGTTTGTCCGAAATGGTATAGGGTTTTCTGCCTGAGCAGGAGGTTGGACTAGATGACCTCGAAGGTTCCTTCCAACTTTATTATTATTATTATTATTATTATTATTATTATTATTATTATTATTATTATTATTATTATTATTATTATTATTATTATTATTTTCAGGTCAGTCATAATTTTGAAGGGTTGCTAAGTGACGGGTCCTAAGTCAAGGGCTATCTGTAATATTCTGTTCATTCTTTTACCTTGTATTTTATATCCATCCTTTTATTTCTAAACAGTTTGTTTTTTTCTGTATAAGTCTTTGACTGTAATAAATTTAAAAAATGGAAAAAAAAGCACTAGGCTGAGGGCATATAAATCTGTGATTTTGGAATTCTGGAATCTCCCAGGGGCCAACAACAGGGAAGATTCTCTGTGGTGCACCACTACTTTTCGTTAATTGGCCACAAAGTGAGTCCCTGCTGATCTGGGACCTTTTGTAAATGACAGATAGAAATGCGATGGGGTGGTGCTGAACAAATGTGCCAAATTATTTTCCAAAAATGTTTCTACAAACATGTAAATATCAGGTTAAAGTTTAACAACACATCTCTTCTCAGTCCCCACTTAAAATGATTATTGAGGGCCAGGCTTTTCCATGGATCAGTTACACAACTCACAATATACCCCAGAACCAGGGGATCCAATATTTGCATTTGCCCATACTCAGAAAAAGCCATGAGACAAGGTTCACCAGAGGGAAAAAAAAACCCAAACCCTTTTTTATTGAAAATGAAAAGCATGATAAGTAAAACTAGGAAATAATACATAATTCAGCAGTTAGCAAGCTTTGATACAACATTATCAGTTTTTAAATGCTAAGCCTTAGCTTTCAGTCTAATTCCATGTCAATATATGCAGTTTTATCCACTCTACAAGTACAGGCAGTAAGAAGCTGAGAAAGGTAAGAGAGATCTTCAGGAATGATGCTAGTGTAACCTTCTACCCAGTGGTGGGATTCAAATATGTGAACAACCGCTTCATGTGTGGATGCCACTTCCGGAAGTCCATTCTTGGCCTGGGCAACAAAAAATTAGCTACCTGTTCTGCTGAAGTGGCTGAATCCCACCACTGCCTAAAGGCCATCAAAGCTTCTGCCTGAAGTACTATTTAAGCAAGATTCTCTGCTCTGCTTAAGTTAGAGCAAGGGTATCAAACTGCCAGCCCACGGGCCGGATGCGTCACATGGAAGCTGTGCCTACCCCAGCTCCGGCAAGGGGGAAAAAGTCGTGGCATGTCACGTGACGCGGCGAGTTTGACACCCCTGAGTGAGAGCTTTGTCCATTACCACTTTGTTATTAGAGAACTCCACATAGGTTGTGAGTAATATCCCAAAACAGACTCCTCTTGCTTTCCTTCCTGGGCAGCTGATATGGTGGACTGAGTGATGCCACAGCAAAATGGTGTGGGCTTTTTTCCCCCCACATAGTCTTTGGATTGGTTTTTTTCTTTTATATTAATTTTTATCTTTATTATTTGCCCTCCCTCCAAACCTGATCCAAGGTACCATTTAGACTTAGTGCAGCCTGAACTTTTAGGAATCTTTCTCCATTCTGAATCATATAGAATAGAGAAAACCCTTTTCTTATAGTAGTATATGCATTGTTAGTGTTAATTCCTTAAACTCAGAAATCTGAAAGACGCTTTTCTCCAGATTGAACAATTACTTCACACCGTATCCATAAATATGGGGACGAACCAAACTTATGAACAATGGGCCTATGATGTGTTGCAAGTTCAGTTTAGAAAACCCCGCGTTCTCCAAATCTTTCCAGGTCTCGCTTAACAAGGAGCACCCATCTCCCACATATTTCCAGGTAGGGTTAAAGACTTGTTGCCAGAAGTAGGTCCAGGTTGATCTGTCAGCTGCTACATGTTCCATGAAATAGAATGCACCACCCTGGAAAAAGTAAAATAATACAAAAAAATAAAGAATTTGAAGCAGAACACTTTGATATTACATAAAAAATTCACACTGTAATCAAATTTGTTGTTATATAATTTCCTGGGGATATGAAGCAATAATTAAGTATAGAGACAAAATGAAACTGGAATACAATTTAGCCATTAATGATTTACAGGAAATTCAAGTTCTAGGAAAACTGCAGAATTGGCCTTTTTTATTTAAGGACGGTGACAAAGTAGCTGAACCTGTTCAATATATTTCCGCATATCAAACTCAAAATTTTAATAATTTATTCTTTTATTTATATCCTTGCTTTATTATATTTACAAATAACTCAAGGCGGAGAGCACATCCAGCACACTTTCCTCCTCCTATGTTCTCCACAACAACAATTCTGTGAGGTGAATTGACCGAGGAGAATGACTGGCCCAAAGTCACCCAGGTGGCTTTCAAGACGGGACTAGAACTCAATACATCAAGATACGATGAAGGAAGCTGATTTATCTATTGCTAAATGAATAAAGAGATACACTTGACCTGAAAGTCAAACAAGTCCTATTAAAGGACAAACAAGCTGTAATGTATGTACAGTAACAACTTATATTTGGATAACGGTCTCCTAACTCATTTGTTATCTCAATTCTTTCCACTGTAAAAGTGCTACTTTATCACGAATATCCAGTGAGGCTGCATTCGCTCTAGATACCATTATTATGAGAAAAGATAAATCCCTTTCTAATAACTACTTACACAGATTCACAAGTTTAATTGCTGAACTGTTTTCCTTTTCTTCTATACTAAAAAGTATCAAATGTTGGAGCTTCTCTTTTTAAGGGAGTGGTTCATTTTATTTGCCCTTCACTGCTTCTTCCTCATTTTATAATATCCTTTTAAGATGCAGTCACCAAAATTTCAAAGGAATGATGGGGAGAATAAAATAAGTCTCGTATCTTGACAAGCAGAAATGGTAGAAGGATAATTGTGAGGATCCAGGGCACAGCACAGAGGCAACATAGTCAGCTGACAGTTCCAACTGCCCCTTTATTGCTCCAATTGTTCCCCAAATGCTCTCACGTTTGTGGCAAGTCCCAGAGCAAGTGACAACACACAGACAGACACCCCTTCAGCAGCCTCTGGCTGCAAGTAGTTTCAAAAGTTTTTCACTCTCTCAGGCAGGAGAAGTTTGTATATGGAACAAGCAGTCCTCTTTCAGGTTTCGACTTACACACAGTTGCTAGATTAGAACTGTAATTTACTCAAGGCCAAGTGGATAACAAAGAAAGGAACATACATCAAAATCTAAATAGTCTGTGGAAGTACAAGCTTGCCTGAGTAGTTTCAGAAGAGAAGCCAAATTCAATCTGAGGTTTGGAGCACCAAACCTTACTGATTAGATTGATTTGTTGTTACAGAAATGGGTAGTTTATACTATTATGAAAAAGTAAAAAGTTGAGGTTTGATATTAATGCTTTATTCTACTGCAGTAGAGGAAGTCAGAAGTCAATTATTTTTTTCCTCCCTTCTCTCCCTCCCTTCCTTTCCCCTTTCTCTCCCCATTGTGTCCTACTATTTGCTTTATATTTTGTATTTTACTCTATAATTCAATAAAATGTAAAAAACAAAAACTAGATGAACATAGCTATAAACACAACAATAAAATTTAATAAACACTATGTTTCTTTGGAGAAAAACTAGCCAGTTGGACAAATATCCTGTGAAGAATAACATCTAAATTTTAGTCATGTTCCAGGGTGCTAGGAACAACCCTACATTTCCTATTTGGAAGATTACATTGGCTTTACTGGCGATTATTATTTGATTACAGAGGGCAGCACAGAGTAACTATTCCACCCATGGAAATGGCTGCTAATTTTCTCTGTACGGCAAACACGTAGATCATTTCTCAAATTGCATACAATATCAATATATATATAGCATCCAAAAGCCACTGGACTGCATGCTATTCCCAGATTCTCTTTGTGCTTCTTATCACTAGATGAACATAGCTTTGAAATTCTGCAGGGAAATGGCTGATTTGGGGCACCATTTTAAACTTTTATTTAAAGGTGAAGGGCAACCTTTAGTTTATTTACTTAAGATACAGAGGCTTCCGCAGAATGAAAGACTAGCCAAAAAAACTCCCAAAGTAGTGTTGTGCCCCAGCAGACATACCTGTGCTGTAACAACATAATGCTCTTTTCCCTATGTTTTCCTCATGTAAGCCTCTTTGTCCTCTTGCTACAATGTTGGCTTGATCTACTCTGGTTCATACTCAAGTCTCCTCCAAATCAAACTTGATCCCTGGTGATTTCATGCAGACTTCCACGTGGGGAGGGCATTTTGGGAAACAATTCAAAAGTAGTTTGTCTGAAAATGATCCAGAAACACAGGCAGGCGGGAAAGGTGCGGTTGCTTTAAGAAGGAATCCCATTTACGTTAAGCCTGAGAATCAGCGTAAAGCGCAGCAGAGAGGTGCTGTTTTGGGGGATCTAAAGCTCCTGCTCCCCATCATTTTCAAAGCATGCACAGCCTAGTGCTCATTATTCGGTGGTCTGGACAGACCAGACTGAATTTCCCTCCTTGCCCTTCGACTTACCGGTCTGAGCACTCGCAGAACCTCCTTCAGGACAGCCTGGATGCTGTTGACAGAGCAAAGAAGCAGCGTGCACACCACCACATCCACAGAGCCGTCCGGTACCGAAGAGATGTCCTCGGCGGAGGCGACCACAAAATTCTCGAACTGCAGGTGCGTATTCTGAGCCATGCTCTCCAGGAGGAGGTTTTGAAAGTTGGGATTATAGTCCACGCAGGTAACGCGCGAGTTGGGTGGATAAAACTGAAAGTTGGTGCCGCTGCCGACGCCGATCTCTAGCAGGTGGAGCTTTCCCGAGGCGTCGGCGAAGTCCCGCAGGTTCTTGAACAGCGTCTCCTTTTCCTTGTGCATTCTTACATTGTAGTCTTTGCTCAACTTCTTCATGAAAAATGGGAAAGTTTTTTTACAAATAGGGTCCCATAAGCCAAAATAGGCAAGCACATGGATGGGCAGGGTGAGGATTTTCATGCATTGTTGGAAGATGAGAAGCAGCATCGTCGCCGGAGTAGAAAGAGAAGCCCTCCCTGCAGCAAAGAAGGTTGATTCCCTAAATGATTTGCTTTAAATATAGCCCGCTCCTCCCCGTTCCCTTAATGAAGTTGCGCAAGCAAACCGACCACATCCGTTCCCCCGGTTGGGATCTGTTCCAGTTCTTCCTTAAAGCCACAGCGACTCTTTCGGTCAGTTGTTGAAAAAAATACCCAATGGATATTGTAATTTACAACATTTGAATTTGATTTAAAATGCAGATTGTTTCCATAGAATCATAGGGCTGGAAGAGACCTTGGAGGTCTTGTAGTCCAACCTCCAATTTTAAACTGGCTCAAGGTAATGAATTACACCCCTCCCACACACACACAATTGTCTATTGCGTTGGCAGGTGTTTAAAGTAAATCTGCAAAAGACATTTTTCATATTTTTCTTTAATATGTCTGTTTCTGAGGAAATCTTTAATGGCAAGAAACCAAGATGAGTGACATTCAGCAAAGTTTCCTGGCTAGCTAGGAAGATTGATATCCAAATGTGAGTTTATACTGTATACCCTTTTCTGAGGTTCCAGTCTAACATATGCTAAAACCTGTATAATCCTATGCCTGTTGATGGGATATTTTTCCTCTTTGGCTTTATTTGGAGGAAAATGGGCTAATCCCTGTTCTTAAAAGAAGCAGGGTTGGCAAATCTGATTAGTTCCTGTATCTGTTTGTCTTGCTAATTGGTTTAACAAGTGTCTTGTTACATTTTGTTACATTCTTGTGCTAGACTGCATTCTTTCTGGTTTTGCAGCATTCTTAAGTGTTTGCACTTTGCCTGAGGTTGTAAGCCCTGGAAATGAGTCAGATAAGGTTTGTGTGCTATTTTTAAAAGGATTAAACCAGACATGTCCAAAGTCCGGCCCGCGGGCCATTTGCGGCCCGCGGCCCGGTTTAATCCGGCCCTCGAACAGCCCTCCCTGCTCTATATAAATGCGGCCCTCCCACAGCCCTCCGGCAAGTCCCATGAGAGAGAGAGAGAGAGAGAGAGAGAGAGAGAGAGAGACAGAGACAGAGACAGAGACAGAGACAGAGGCACTTGCACTTGCACTTCTCTCTCTCTCTCTCTCTCTCATGGGACTTGCCCCCTCGCAGGGCTCCTCATTGGCCCTGTGCCCTGTTACCCTGCCCCCAGCCGCAAGCCACCATCCGCCCTGTGGTTATAAGTGTCCCGGCAGTTGGGACCCGCCCCTCCCGGAAGTCAATCAATCCTTGGCGGTTCTCCATCCGGCCGCTTGTGTGCTGCATCACCCAGCCTCCTTCCCTGAAGGCTCGTTGGACCAGAGAGTTCCAGGTTGGTGTCAGCCCTTGCTCGGCCTTCTGAGCTCTCCC